GTACGGCGTGGCGGTCCCCGGGCCCCAGGCGGCGGGGCGAGGGGTGGCGGGCCCGCGGCGTTGGGAGGCGGCTGCGCAAGCCGCACCCCCATTTCCACTCCGGGGTGGCGGGGCGCGCGCGCGGTCACCCCCGGGGCAGTCGCTTGCTCGCGCTGGCTGCGTCTGCGGAAGTTGCGGTGGGGCGTCTGCACGCCCGGGGGCACTTCACCTGACTGGGGGCCCCGCGAGCCCCCTCCCGTTGAGAAGCAATTCAGAAAACTTCCAGCCTAAGAGTAAACTTGCTGCCGAGGGCGACGCCCTACGTCCTGAGTCCTGGCGGAGGGGCCACGGGGCTCTGTGCGATGGGAGACAAAAACATGCCTGCCGACACCAGCCGTTCTTGGAAATGTGTCGTGGCTGTTTACAAAATAGCTTTATTGAGACATAATTTACGCACCGTAAAATTCACCCGTTTTACGTGTACACTTCACAGGTATTTATTGTATTTGCGGTGCAGGCATCACAATCTAATTTTGGAGCATTTCCACCGTTCCGAAAGGAAACCTCGTGCCCAGTAGCGATCCCTCCCCGCAGCCACTGATTTACTTTCTGTCTCTACAAGTTTGTTCTGGACGCTTCCTGGAAATGGAACAATGCAGTACTCCGCCTTTTGCCTCCGGCTTTTTCCCCTCCTGCCATCATGTTTTTGATATTCGTCCAGGTAGTAGCATTTATCAATGCTTCTGTCCTTTTATGTTGCCAGATAATATTCCATTGTGTGCGTATACAGTGGTTTGACTTAACCAGTGCATCCATTCATCGGTGTTTGCAGTTTGGGGTTTGGTGAACAGGACTGCCACGTACAAGTCTTTGTGCGCAGGTAGGTTCTAGTTATCTTGAGTAGACAACCCGGAGTGGAATTGTTGGGGCATACGGAGTTCTTTGACTTTTTGAGAAACTCCCAAATTGTTAAAGTGGCTGTGGCCAGGTTACATTCCTACCAGCGATGTGGGGCTTTCCATTTCTTCACAGCCTCAACACTTACTGTTGTCTGTCTCTTTACTTCCAGCCCTCCAGGAGCGTGGGGCTGGTATCCTTATGGCCTTGACTTGCATTTC